CATGGCGGCATTCTCGATGATGTCGTACAAATAATGATGTATTAATCAATTATTCTACAAGTAAAATGGTTTCCTGCGGTGAACATTTTAATGATATTAAGATATTTCATTTAACTATTTTCAACATTATTGGGGGGGGGGGGAATAAATAAACGTTTGTATCAGGAATATAGTTGACAATAATCGATCAATATAGAAGAAGGTCTTTGGAAACGGGTGACCGGAGAAGGTCGAACATAAAACAATTATTTCTTTTTAAGAAAATGATATAATAGGCCTACCATTTTATGAATAATTCCGAGCAAAAAGTAAATAAAGTAAACACACAAGTTTACGCAGAAAATATCTCTATTTATGATGGCAGATGCCACTACGAATATTTTAATTTTGTCGATATTCAGTTTAAACAATTTATTGTTTGTAAAATTTGAGATAGATATTTAAGAAACATTGATAATTTTCAAACACATCATTCAAGTTTTTCCACCTTTTTCCACCTTAAACGGTAAAATAGTTATAGAAAATTAGAAATATCTCGTAATAATTTTTTGTTCTCGACTAGGTATAATTCTGACTAATTCCCTACATGTAAATCCGTAACGTACCGGCAAACGGTATTTAGCTGGGTTTTCGACAAGGTCAATTAACCAATCATATACGGTTTACAGATCACATGCTCCTCCATGTACCGAAAACAAGTCACGTGCTCCTCCATGCCTCAAAAGTTAAACGCGTACCAATACCCTGCGGTCTCCAGACCGCAGGGAATAATGTCGTTACGCGTTTACTCATGCGTAAAGTTTCCTAATGGCATTAGGACCTGCATTGTGATTGAGAGTGATAAAAAACCGGAAAATGTTAAATGTGTTAAACGCATTTCATTTTCTCTTAATATTTGTTCATCAATAAATTATCAGAAATACGTTTTTTCCCGTAGTTCAAAGGCCTGAGTTGCATATTATTTTATGACAGTGTATATTTCACAGTCACTTGTAAATCTGCTTAAGGCAGTTTACACGTAAGATATATGTAATTGTCTTGAGAAAGTTGTTGAAACTTATATCATCATAGGAATAGTTTTTTCTAGTGTAAATATATTTCTCATAAAATAATGAATGAAATTGATCTCACAAATCAACAAAAATAAAGATTGTATTATAATATCATATATAGTTCCGAAAAACCGGTTATTTTAATTATTAAAATAGGATGAAAACAAAAACTTGCACCTGTCCGCAAGAATAGCAGAACCATTGACAAATAAATAAACAACTTTATAAAGACCTTATTTTATTTAAGTTGCATGTACAAAACGCAAATGACGCACAAAAAAGGTGTTTTTAACTTAATAGCATACAAATGTAAATACACCTAAATAAATTACATGGTCAAAGCAGATGTTGACTTATTGCTATTTAACACAAAACCCGTCTGGTTTTTAAGTCTTTCAATTTTTACTCTGCTTATTGACTAATTCTAGCATTCCTCAATTCGTTATGGTTATTTAACGACACGTCTATGCCTTTTAGAGTTCTTTGTCCGGTTGTCTTAGGTAACTCGTTAATAATTCATTTTTATATGAGTACGGATTGAACAGTAGAATATAAAAGTAACGAAAGGTATAGATTGTGACTGAATGCGATTACATCATTGAACAAAAGAAATAAAATTTATCGACAATTGTACGTTCCCTGTGCATTGTTATATAATCGTCTAAATAGAGGGAAGGGGATAAAATGGCTAATTCATTTGCAATGTTTCTTAGGCGTATACAAAAAGTACACCGCACGCTAGTTTTAGTTTATCCTTTTTAGTAGAATTGAGCGTGTACGACTTTTACCATGTAATGTCAGTAATAACAACATTTAAAGACGAAACTTTCGAATATGGCGCTGAATGCTGCTAGCCAATACAGTTTTATTATCATAATTTGTTAAATTTTATGCTGTTTACTTGGTGTATTTTTGGATGTAGAATGAGTAAGTTCTGAAACTAGTTCACAGCTTGAGAATTCATAGTTGATTCGTCTTTAATGGTGTATCCAACTGAAAACTCATCTAAATGGAACCTTGTTTTGAACGGAACAATGTTCATTTACCATAAAGTTATGTCTTACATTTGGTTGTCAATGTGAAAAAAATCATCTTTTAAACCGTTACCGCATTTCTAAGTACCAAAGATTAATGTGCTTCCAATTGTAATAGGAATATTTGCAATTTTGCACCTTTCTGAAAACAAAACTAACTAAAAGTTTTAAATAAAAGCTAATAGATCCACCAAGTAATAAGCGACTTCAAACCGCGTTTTTGTTTGATTTACACATTGTGAACAATGCAAGTATGTAAAATAGTTTGCAAAACAAGTCGTGTTTATTCATTTTTCAATTAAATAATTAATATCAGATAAATTGATATATTTATTTAAAATATTATTTCATCAGGAAGACTATCACCGACTTCATTAGTCTGACTTGATGATACAGGGTGTTTCATAATATGTGATACACTTTTAATTAAATGTCTCGTTTATGTAAGAATGTCAGTATGTATACATCAGCAAAACTTCATTTGCGGATTGAAAACGAACAGACACACCGCACAAAATGTCTGGTTTTCTTAATCGTTTACATTCGATCGCTTTGAGACATTTATCAGTGTGAATCTATTATGTTACACTTGATTTATTCATAACATCAATGTACAAATCAATAACGCGACAGGCATATAACAACTGTGATATCAAAACTCTCTGACGGGATGCATGAAATAATTAATGCCATTTTGTTAGCAAGATCGAATTCGTTTTTACTAATTCTCTTGAAAATGTTAAATCTTTGAAACAGATGCACGATATGCTTGATATAACATTAAATATCATTTAATAAGTTTGTTCTTTACTTTGCCATTTTTCGTTTTAAATTTTAAAAACTGCCTACTTATGATGGTGAATGATGTTATAATAGTTTGTATTAAAAATTTGCAATTCATGTTGTAAGAATGAAAACGAAAATGAAAGCGATAATTAATAATGTAGTCATAGTCCTTCGGTTAAGTTGTATATGCCTGACGTAAACAACAAGTCACTGTATGTATTATGGCATTAAAGAACGCCGAATGCCTAAAAGTTGACTTAATGACATAGAAACCAGACACAGCCTGGCGATGCATGGTGAGGATATTTAAAGATTAATTGGTTGAATAATGAATGAGGTTATTTCATTAAAGCGTGATGGCTTTTCATGGATATACGCAGCATTAACTCATTAAGAGATAACGAACACTCAGCTTGTTGGACTTTGAAGTTTAATTAATCAAATGTAGGCTCCAATTGTATGTATTTCCAGCGAACTCGTTAGTATGTACAATATGACCTTTACATCGTGTTTTTCATTTCATTTGGCAAATATATGTATAATAATTGGATGAACAGGATATTTGTTTATAGCCTCACCCACTATTTATCATACATATTCTTTTATTTCCAGTGTGTGTTAGAAACAAATGCAACGAGTGATTAAATACAATGTTTTAGGTTTATGATTAAAATTTCGTATTTTTCTTTTATAACACTGTGTTTAAACAACCAAAGTATAAAGATTACAGAGCATTGATTTTTTTCTGGATAATTGTATTCATGACAATGAAATAAGTAATACATATCCAACTTTGTGGCTTCTCTGTTAAACAAAAGGAATCAAAAGTGAATTTCAAGCTATTATGCTTACTAAATTGAATACGAGATTTAGGAATATAAAGAAGAAATTCTATTAATTTAAACTATTGCTTAAAGTGCCTTAATATGTGACATTGTGTTATCTGTAACTAGGCTTTTATTGAAAACCTTAAACAGTAAAAAAAATATGTGCATTTCTTTCAACAACAAATTGCAGTAGATTAGGTTTTAATGTATTTTTAATTACAATGACATCAACAAAATATATAAAAAAGATATGTTACAATATCAAATATGACCATCATAGTTTATTAGTTTATTTCAGTCTCTTTCATATGCATACATATATACATAAAACATATTAAAAATTGATAAAAAAAAAAATACATATGACCATTCTACAATAGAATTATAAGAGACTATATCATATATATACTTATCATTATCCATTTACAATTGATATTTAGTTCCTATTGTTAACAGTAAAGATACATTATAAGACAATTTTACATCATAAAAGTTAGATTATCCCCACTGACCTTCAATAAAAAATAAATGAAGAAATGCTGTAAGATATTTTGATAATAAATCTCTAAGTGTTCTAAAAAGTGGCATCTCTAAGTGTTCTAAAAAGTGGCACTATTCCACAAATTTAATAAAACTATATCACCCATGGTCAGACCATGGATGATTGATCAGTGGTGATATTCTATACATTAGTAGGTAAAACAACTTATCATGTTTAAAACAGATATGTTTCATTTGTATCATACAAATTACTATCATCACATTTGTACAATAAAATTTACTATCGTGTACTATAAGCACCTGACATCTGAAAAAAGATGTTAAAAGACTATACTAAAATTAATTTAAAAAAGAAACTAAAACACTAAGTGGTCTGAAAAACCTTACTTGTACAATATATTGTAGCGGAGTTGATATGTATAAAAGAAATGGGAATAACAATTCATTTTTAAAATATTATAACACTGAAAACAGAAAACCTTAGTCGATGCAAAAGGAAAAACTGTTAATAAGTTAATAATTGTCCAAACTTGTCAATGTTTTACCTTTGCAAGTTTGCATTGACAAGTGGCTTGCTGGTGGCAAATGATTCAAATGATTTAATAATTGGTTATAATTGGTTAGGAGAATATTTAAAGCATATTCAAATTACAGAACATATTAATAATGTTTAAGATATTAACGCAGTAATTAAAAACTGAAACGAAAAACATGTGAATATGTCAATTACCAACACAGGTGTTACACTACTTATATAAATTTGAAAAAACTTTTTATATAAACAATATCTTAAATTTCAGTCTTAAATGCACCTCACGGACGCCGTCGAAAACTTCAACCAACATTCCTACCAACACCAAAAGATATCATTGTTCATCGGGGAGAATTAGCGGTTCTTAAATGCCATATCAAAGATGTGGGACCAAAAAAGGTGAGTATTTCCTAAGTGATACTATTTTTTGCGCATTTCCTGGAGTACTTAGTACAATAATTTATGTGCTGGACGTTTTTTTTATATAAAATTTTAGTCGGGAAAACAAAGGATAACAGGGTGTGTAAATTTTGGGGTTTAATCACTATTTGTTTGTATCTGTACATTGTTTATATTTGTATAAAACAGCATGCAATCGTGCAGTACTTTCATTACTTTGATTAATGTACAATACAGAAAACGTCCCCTACTACATAGGACTGGCAATGTAATTTAAGGATTCAATTTAATGAGGTTCTGGTATAAAAATACTAAAGTCTTGTTTTAGACCTGTTGTCTATTTTAGGCAAATGCAAATGGGGATTTAGTTTCAGGTAACGTATTTTAAAACTGCTTTTATTTCAAAGAAATTTAAACAAATAAGGTATCAGATTTTAAGACTACCTTAAATAAAAAATACAACGTTGATATCAATTATTAAGAATGGTATTGTTAAGTGTTGAAGGTTGATTTTTTTCTTTAGTAATTTTGTTCTTACAATTAAGATCATATTAGTTTTAATCTATCACAATACATCATTTAAAAAAGTCTACGCCCTTTAATCAATTGTTCGATTATATTGCGTGACGCAATCTTGTGAGTGAGCGGTAGTAAGAAACGAGTGCCTCATACTTCTAAATGAACAGAAAAAATATATATTAATCATGCTTCATTTAGATTGTTTCATGGGGAGAGAGAAAATTAGGTATATCGCTCTTGCCCTATATTCATGTTAACTGAATTACGCTTGAATCAATGCTTTAGTGGTAAATGATTATAACGATATACATTTTGCTGATATGCAAAGTTTGTTATTTCATAAAATGAAGTGCAATCACAAAATACAACAACAACAACAAACCCAAAAAAAAAAATGGCATCATGGTTGTTCAAAAAGAAAGAAGCATAGAACATTTTAATAATAAAACAGTATTTGTTAATAAGTACAAATCTCTCTGCATATTTCTTATATTTCGTTTATATGTAACATGTAGCTTCCGATGGCATTTTAATATCATTTAACCATGAACTATCCCTTAAATGTTTGAAAAAATAAATAACAACAAATGCTTATCCGTGTATAAATTGACAAAGTCCTTTCAACATTTGTTGTACACAATGATGTTGTTAAACGAAACAACACATTTTAGAGACCCACATCAAATAATAAAGCATCATTTAAAACAACTGATAGTTATAAATTACAACAATCTTCAATTTGCGCCTCTCAAACGTCTCTCTTTAATCAATTGTTCAGTAATATTGCGTGACGCACTTTTGTGAAAGAGCAATTGTGAGAATCGGTTGCTCCATACTTCTAGATGAACAGAAACTGAAAGGAAATAGAAAATAATGTATAAATCATGCATGCTTCATTTCAATTATTTCACGGGGAGAGAGAAAATTAAGATATATATCTCAGCTGCCCTATATTTTATGTAAACTTGAGCACACTTCAATGAATAATCTGGTGATTTATTATTGATTTTATGAAACAACATTTTTTTTAGCAAACATGCCAAACTTTAAATTATCTCAAAAGAAGAGCAATCTACAAATTACTTGCGTAATATGTTTTAATAACTGTTTTATTTCAACAAGTAATGAAAAACATTTTATTTACATTCTAATAGACCTCATATCAAAGCAAACATTTTCGATAGCATTCTTAGAAAATAATGAATATTCTGTACAATACCTGTAACAAGTGTTTGGACTGTTGAATACAGTTCTTGACCGTGTGCTCTGACCTGTTTGGTGTCCTGCGGGGCTCCCTGGCGCTAGTCCTGTGTTGGGGATGCGTTTATTAAATGCCTTCCTTTCTTGTTGATTTTGTTTTTCATATTTTATACAGTTCTACCAATTTTATGAAATAACTCGCCAACGCTGAAGCACAATCCTTGTTCTCGTTAGGGTTAATGTATAACTTGATATAAAAATATCGTTTGAATTAATTTTATCTATACTTATTCAATCATATATATACTTTTTACGTACTCCTCATTAATATTTCTTGAAAGTGACAAACAGTTTAAGGTATTACTATGAGTTAAACAATTTCTTCCGAATTTTATATTGTTTCGTTAGGCTTCAAAATCAGTAATGAATAGATGTCACATTTTCAGGTTGTATGGCGGAAAGAATCAAGCGACGTTCCGTTGACGATTGGTGAAACAATTTTCTCGCCAGAGAGTAACATGGCAATTCAAGTACACAAAATATCAGAACATGTATGTATTTTTTGTAACCGAAACATAAAGAAAATTGTGATAATCGAAACCGTAAAGAATGCCAAAACGGCATTAATCATTGAACGCCTAGATATTATACTTACCACAATTTAGACATAGCTTTTAGTTAGACTTTTGTATGTAACTTTTTTGGTGCTTTTCAGTTTAATGCCGTCTTCATGTAAAATTTTTGATTACATCAAATCATACTTATGTTCAATGTGAACAAGGCTGTGTGTTGTAATCTGTTTCATAGATTTTGCTAAATCCAATCCAGGTTTTCGTAAGTTTCATTTTGCAAGGCGTAGGTGTATATTTATACACATCCTCCACGATAGAGTTAGTTTTCCTAAATCTATTCTACTTCTTAAGACGTTTACAAAAAAACTGAGAATTAAAAAAAAATTATGATGGGTTGTAAAGTTCTAGTATGCATGCACTTATTATGTAATTTAACATCATCAGAATAGCGAAAAAAATCAAAATAATAAATCCATTTTATGAAACACTTTGCGTCAGAAATTAAATATCAATTTGCTTAGTTTCACTCAAAAGGTTTGTATGTAAATCTTTTTCCAGGTGATCCAGTATGACCTCATAATAAAGGATGTTGAAACAAAGCACAATGGAACATATCTATGTCAAGTGACAGCATCTAAAACATACGCACATTACGTGACATTGACAGTTTTGGGTGAGTGTAATCTAGTGTTTTGTTATTATTATCGTTCACTGGATAAATTGTGCGAGAACTAAATTTATATTTAAAAATGAGGTTGTCTGGTAGAAAGGATCAAGCGATTAAACAATTGATAACTGATATAAAAAACATAATTGAAAATCAAACTTTGCAATAAATAAAAAAATCGTTAAATAAAATAAACTTCCATCATGTTTATACGACGTAAGTCTTCAAAAACCGTACAATATAAAAAAGCACGCTAACTGCTAAAAAGGTGTAATTTTGTTTGAAAACAAAAAACCTACACCTTGTAGGTGCACGTTTAATTTCTTTCTTTCGTTTAGAACAAAGTTTCAAATTGTGCTTCTTTTCTTCGACTTTAATCATAAACTACCTAAATTCTTTTCTATTCATTTCTTAGGTTTTACACAAGAAAAACATAAATCCCATTTAAAAATTCATACAAATATAGTCGCATGTTTCATGAATCAAAATGATGGTGCTTTTTAATCAAACCGTTTGCATTATATCCTATGTACTCGTACTTCATGTAAAATATCACCAACTTTGAAACTTACTATAGCAGTTAATAATGATATAGTTTATAGCAATTAGACTGCACCATTTTTGTTTGATTTTCAGATGAACCTGTCAAGGAAAAAAAAAGTGAGTAAAACTTGTTTGCCATCCTTACTTATTGACTACATACCTTCTTATATTTGATCGTGCACTGTAAAACACTTTTTACACAGTTCATAGTTACTGTACATTTATTACCAATATTTTTTGTGAACTAACATCAATGTATTTGTACTGTTATTGTCACCCTTTCCATTTAGCGTAGCGTATAAATTTAAGAGTACAAATGGCAAGTATAATAATTCAAAACTTATATGATTAGGTGATTGGTAAAATTCTTTGTTAAAACATTTTACAGAAAACTCATAATAAGCAATTGCATGCGAAACAACTTTTGATAATTCAAAACAGTGAATGAAAACCACAAGGAAATGATATAATGTTTTGCTTAAGTTTGTGTTTTTTCGGGCACTTGCTCTTTCCCGCACCAAAAATGAACAGGTTCAATAAAACTTAGCTTGAATCATTTCCCATTTTGGACGTTTTAGAAATTACTTTGCCGTTTTGGGGTTGTTTTATTTGGGAGGTAAGTGTAAAGAAATACTTGTGAAATATCTAATTATATCACTGTTAAGTAAATCTTTTTTTAAAATCATTTCAGGGATTCAATTAATCGGGACCGAATTCGTAAACCAGGGTAACCGTATAATGTTACTGTGTAATGTCACCGGAATTCTCCAAGCACCGGTTGATGTTGATTGGTTCTTTAAAGGAGAAAGAATAATAACTTCTTTAGCCCATTGGAAGGATCGGACTCAAATACTTCGTCGAACAAGGGGAAAGATGTATATAAGTGAATTAATTGTAGAGAGAAGTACTTTACATGATAAAGGAATATATGTATGCAGAAGCTCTGGAAGTTCCATTGAGGTTGACAGTATTACTGTAAATGTCTTAAGTGGTATGTCTTCACTAAAACCTTGCCAATTGTTTGCTTAAATTGCGTTATTTTTTGTAGAAATTTGCTCGTTGTTATTTTATTAAGTAGTGTAATCTACGAGTTTTGTATCGTGCGTAAAATACAGTACATGGTTTCAAACTGGTAATATATAATATTTTAAATAATACTTAGTTAAAGAATGAAGTCTTCACATTTATATTACACTATGTTGAAATTTGTCTCTGTCATTTACAAAGTAACTTGTGGTTACATATAACAGCAGATTTATATGTTAACCCTCTTTACGTACGGAGTCTGTTCCGATTTCTGTCAGATTTTTACACCACTTACTATTTTTCAATTTATCATTTGCGTCTAGTTATCATCCGATGCAGCAGTTCATCTTAAATTTCTAACCAACAAATAGCATCTTATTGTTGATTCAGAACTCTGCATTTATTACCTAATATGAGGGAGTAAAAAACATTTTGAAGTTATTTGATAAATGTTTGTATGTTACGTACAGGTCGACTCAATATGATGATCAAGAACGCAAATTAAAAAATCGCTTGTTTTTGTTTTCGTATATCTGATATTATTATACAGAATGAGTAGAACTTCTCGCATGTGTGCTCATATGATTACTTTTACTTTCTACGAGAAAGAACGCTTTTAATAATTATTTAAGTCATGGCTTACATTTTACTTTGCTTTGCTTTATTTTTCTAAATTTTTTCCGATCATGAAAGTCTTTTTTGTTATTTTACAAACACCGCATATCAGATGACGGCCCAATGACTATCATTGGTATGTTTGTATTTATCTTTTGTGAGTTGATTCATTGCACAAGCTTCATTCCAGTTTAGTTCAAGTTCTGTTTTAATTTACATTTAAAAAGATTAATGTGATACCATTTAGTGTAGACATATTGACCAACACATTTGTGATTGTAACATATGATGAACTTTTCTGAAAAAGCCCATAAACATAAAATCAAAATAAAAACAAAATTGTGTCATTTGCCCCCCTTGTTTCCTACCAATGTGTTGTGTATATTGACAGGTTCTTTTGATATAAAAAGTGGATAAAATATGTCATACATTTACCAGAATGTTATAATTCAAATAAGAATAATTTAATTGTTTCTAAACAAAATTATGGAATCAAAAGTAGTAAAAAACCAATTATGGCATCTGAAGTAGTATTCAACAATTTCACAGTAATATTGCAACAATTTGTTAACCTCATTTGATCTTATAAGGTATATATTTTCTCGATAATAACGGTAATATCAAATCATTGCTGCTGTCTTTTAGCGACTCTTTGCTTATCTTGCAAATCTACAACATTACTTCATCAGTTATTAAGTTTGTTATTAATCATATTAATTCACCTTGATTTATACCTATACCTAAACACAAACCGGTATGATTGTATACAACTATTTTAGTAAAAGCATTAGCAGATAAAATGTTGCCATCTTAGTAAGATTGACTTATCGAAAGTGTTTGTTAAATGAAGCAAAGATGTACGGTAATACATGACCTTTTTAATGCTTGCTTTGATGCGAAAAGTAATACAATTAAACTATTAACCTAAACGTCTTTTCTTTAAATATTCTTAGCTTTAATCTTTTTATACAAATTGAAGTGTAATAACATGAGGCAGTCGAAAACATTTTTTCTCTACTGTTTGTTCTCAGTTATGACATTTAAAAAGTTTTTATATTTTGTTTTATAAAAGTAACATAAGCATTATGTAGTATATGTTTTCCATTTCAGCCAACAAACCTAACGTGAGTCGAAGAGGTAAGACATATTTATATCAAAAACAATAACTTGTTAAAAAGTTTCTTTGATTCATATAATCATCTCTTAAAGTCAATAGAAATACCAAATGATTATAAGGCGAAAGGTTTGGTATGAAAGCAAGCTCAATACATCTATAGTTACTTATATAAAGCGATAAATTGATAATAAAAATTTTATTAAATAAAACATAAAGAATGTATGATTTGGATTCTAAATAAAAACTCTTTGCATGTCAGTCATTTATGACATCAGTTGTATGTGTAAATCCTTTTTTTTACTCACGCCGGAACAGTCATACTTCAAATTAAATCTTTGTATCGCATGTCATTCTTAAACTACTGGGTCTGACACTGATTAGACACCAGTAAATGGCTGGGCTAGCATACATATCTGTGAAGTCGGACCAGGCTCTGTATTAATTCTTGTTTTAAAGTATATATTAATAGACAGTTCCAATAATTGGAACAAATAAGAAAATAATCAGGTGAAGTGAAAACGCTCTTAATTATATTACATTACGTTATGTTAGTTTCATTATATTTCAGAGAAAGAAAACATTTCACAGCCTGATCGTAGTAACTCAGCAGCGGTTGTAATCAATCATTCCAGCATGATATATATATTGACCTTAAGTATATGTGTAATAATTGCATTAACCTCATCAAACAGTTGTACTTACTTTCCAACACGAATATTGTCCACCTATCAAGGTCCTGTTTTAAATTGTGACAACTACGCGCACAGGTGAAACTGTGAAAAGAATACACAGCTTGCTCGTGCCTTACATTCCAATATTCGATTACAGCGATCGCCATTCTAATCTTCGTGATACATCTTAAAGCTGATAGTAGACGGTTTTCGAAAATGTTTCAGCAACAGTTGTTTCTTTTAATGTTGTAAACCATTACATTTGGATGAGGGACGAATTTGTATGATGAAACTGACGATAAGAAACTATGTGTTACATTCATTTGTTTAATTAGCAGAAACACTACAGACAGTTACGCACAGTTGTAATATTGTGTGGTTAAATATTGGCACATTCGTTCATTCAAAATGACAAGAATTCCAAAATGAGTTTATCCTGTTTGAGAAGTGTTTGAAGACTCTTGATAAAACAAAAGCATAATGTAACAATTACAAAGCTTTGAAATCCCTGTGAAACCTAAAAAATCATATATAGTTGGTTGGAGCATGTGGTTATTAAGATATATGCGAACGTGTTTTAAAATAAGGTGCATTTTGGTCTGCTAGTGTTGAAAAAAATGTAAATTGCTTTAGAACCTGTGACACAATCATAATGAGTTGTGTACGCGTTTGAGAAAATACATAGACTGATATATTCAATAACAAAGACACTTAAGAGCAAGAACATTGCAACATGTAATGGGTGTTCAGTAATAAGGCGGATTAAAGGAAAGCCTATTCTTTTCTTTGGACGATGAGAGCTCAACGGTTGTGATAACGTTATTTCTTTATTTGGAATGTAGATACAAAAACAATTTTTTTACTCTAGTATTTTTCACTTTGTACATGTTATTGTTATTGACAAACTTAAAGGTTTTCTTTTTTCATTTTCATATACTATTCTGTAGGCATAGCATATATCATTTATAATGTTATGTTTGATGTTGAATACTTTTGCATTGACATACATAACTGTGAATTTGATGAAGTGCCAAATATAATAATTTTATTTAAAAGAAAATCGAAAAGGTTTGTATTCAAACGCTATGATATAGGTTTATTTAACTCACACCCACAAGACACAACAGAGAGAGAGATATAAAACTAAAAACGTCATAAACGACGTTATTGAAAATAATGCAGACTCGGTTTGATTTGGCCTGTTTATGGTCGCATACGAGATAATTAAGTACTTAAACTTCACAAATAATTACAAACAATTAAGGACTATGTTAACGTGTTACATTTGTTGATTTATTGAATGACTGAACACTTTAATTCTTTAATTTGCTAATAACTTTAGTTATCGTTATGTGTTTGATAATGTCTTTTCAATATGCCATGTAAAATTTCTTTGTTTTCCATTTTACTACATCCAGATTAATTTACATTATTTACTTGCTTTATATGTACAGATGTTGCATAAAAAAGACAACAAAAAATGAAGAACAAAATGAACATTTTTTTTCTATAAGAAAAAAATCTAACTTGTGCATGGACTAAAGTGGTAAATTTTGCAAGCAATACTTGTTTATTATACATTTTAAGATAGTTGCTGTTCTTCTCTAAAATTGCATTTAATATGTCCTTGACACAAAAAGTATAGTGTCTAAGCAGGTCAGCAAAATAGCTGATAAGTTAGTAATTAATTGAACTGCTAGAATTAATGATTGCTACTACATAAATGTATTATGTTTTTTTTGCTTCACAAATGAGAGCTTGAACTATAGCAGAGTGGCAGATGTGCATTGCAAAAATGATATTCAGATACTTACATGGGTCAGTGAATCTTATATGTTTTATTACATATAAAGAAAGTCCACCACTTGTTACTTTTCATGGGTGATAATGGATCTAGAAAAGTTTGCATAATCATTTTATTATTCAATTGTTACATTTTGTTCAAGAATATATATATGTATCATTTATCATGTATTTGATATTACAAATTCTAAATAAAATATGTAAATACGTATATTGTCGTTTTGAGTACATAAAATTAAATACACATGAAATATAAGTAAATAATTTGGTGCTCCTAAAATGTTAATTTGAAATGGAGTAGAGGTCTGACTATAATAAGGCTATTGTATGTTGAAAAGCATATTGATTTTGGCATAATTTAAAGTTTATTAATTATGTTAATCGATGGTTGATGGTGTGTGTTTTCGTAGTCTCAATAATGAACTACGTATCTTAAACTGCAGCTCATTGATTAACCATAAAATGTTACTAGCTTAGGGACAACATTAAATTTAATAAAAAAACTTTTTGTATGAAGCAATGCGTGAATATTACATGACTGTCAACAGCCTGATCGTTTACAAAGTCTGCCCCCGAACATAGCGTGTGAATGTGACGCTTAATTTGCAAAAATGTTTGTCTTTTATCATATTTTCGTTAGATATATTTCAGAATGAAATGATAATTTATTTAGATCGATTTAATATGGAAATAAAACTTTTTTCGCTTCAAATACTAACACATTATGAAAATATCTTCAACAGAATATTCCAATACAGCGATAAAGTATAACACCGGGAAAATTATAAGATATTAAAATATCATGATATCATAAAATATAACCTTCAATGAATGAAGCAAGCTTGCCAACTTTGTGCAGTTACTATTAATCTTCAACTGTTCCAAAGTCATTAAATATTACTCTGACTTGATAGATTTAAGACAATGTGTCATCTTAGTGAAATAACGGGTTTATTTCATTTCCATGTTTTTTTCTAAGTAATGAAATGTTACCCTGATGAAATGAAACGATTTTGTCACCTTAGCGCAGTAACGTGTTAACTCCAGGACTTCAAAAAAGGAGGCAACCAGTTACTGCACCTAGGCGACGATGAGGAAACAAATCAACCTCAAGAACAACTTAATTGTCTTGCGTTGCTTGTTTACGAAACATTAGTTTTTGTGTGTTACAAATATATGTATATAATGTATATATACATATATTTGTAAACAGCGGATTTATTTCAAGCGAATATCAGAGGTCGGTAATAGTTTTATCGCGTCAATATTCCATGGGGCGAAGACTAACAGCTTTCTAGAACAAACCCGTACATCAACGGAAGAGTGATAGTGCAAGGATTGATTGAGAACACAAGTTATCATAGTGGTATCGTTTTTATATACAGTAATTATTATTATATATTTCATATGTTTGCTTGTTTTATTAGGATTTCTGCCAATTAATGTTTTAATCATTTATACCTATACTATAGTCGTTAAATTCACATTACTGCAGGCAATACATATTCCAGAAAATATAGAGTCAAAGCTAAATTAAGACAATAATATGTTAAATATATTAAAACTTGACTTATGGCATACGTTGGGGTGACATTAACAAGTCAAAAGAGTTTTTAATGAGTTTGTGCTATGTGGACTAAGTTCAAATATTAATTATTTAAACAGTTGTTTAGCTTATTCAGTTTAATAAAAGAAGAAACTTTCTTTAATATTTTCTACCAAAATAAATAACTGTGATTTTTATTTAAAAAATATAACTATTTATCTGCTATTGACACGATAGTTACAGGACATAATTAAGTAAACTGGTTTAGTTTTGAACTGTTTTTATTCTGGCATGTGCTATGTATACCAGGCCTCAAGGTTATAAAACTTTTTATCTCGAATATAGGGATTTTCGTTGGTCAGTGCACATTCTGATGTGTTTCTGACATCCGAGCTTGAGCTTGCTTTCTGACCAATCAAATAGCTGAGATAGGAGTTTGAGCTCTACAAGGTTTTGTATCCTTGCGGCCAGGTGTCTTTCACAATCATATAAGTCTTATGAACTCTTAAAAAATGTGTTGTTTTACACAATCACTCGTATTACTCGTAAGTATTATTGCAAATGCTTGCACATTTTATTTCAACATCCTGCATTTTTGCTTGTTCATTTGCACTTTTATTTCTTGTTGTTTTTATCATTAAATATATATATTAAAACATAGAACGGCATTTACCAAAATAAACAAAATGTGAATATTTCTCGGTAGTGCTTTTTGCCTCGATGTAATGATTCAATTCATTCTTTACTTTTATAGTATTTTATTACTGTCACAAAAGAACTGATGAAGTGTTATTTGTGTTGCTTTCGGCTTAGAAAGATATAAAGATAAAAACGCGAAAAGTACATACAGTTTAGCGTCTTCAATTGAAGCAAATGAAGCAGAGAAATTAAATCATCATTACTTGAATCATTTAAAGGATGATATTGGATTTATCCACTTATCATAGAAAATAAAATAAACTGTAAATGTAATGGACTTCAGAACCTTCGATTGTGGTATATATCGATACCATGAAAATTGTTCACATCTGAACTGTATCATAAATTCCGGGCATTTTCAAACGAACTGTTTTCAAAAGGAAATGAAAGTATTCTAATTATCATATATAATAATAATTGAGTAATTAGTTAAATTAAACAAGTCAGTAGTTATCAAGTTAAACAAACACTGGTTTACTTTTCTTGCTGGACATTGTTGATAACGCAGTAGTCTGATCGAATTAAAATAGAGTAACATACAGTAAAAACCATACTATATGCCATCAAGAAATAAGACCGTCCCATTTAAAAGACCGATTGTTAAAACAGTGACATAGTTTTTTCTTTATGACAATGGTCATTGAAACCGCAATTAAGACAATCACGTGATACTGCTTTTATTTGAGTTATTTTCTATACATGAATACGTCATTTAATATGCATAAAAATGAATTGAAAAGAATAGTTATTACAATTTAAATCCAGACTCATGATCCATGTCTATGAGAATGTATCAATTTAAGATATTTTTTCAATTAGTTTTTGAAATATATGATACTAATTTTTTAAGCATGAAAACATACAAAATGCCATAAAAAACAGCTTTTCATTATAATATCTAAGAATAAATAATAAATAACAATATCCACGGATAAGACAGCCCAATAAATAAATCCATCTTGGCCAAGACTGTTTTGTAGTCTTAAAAAAAGTTTTATTGTACAATGGTTTTTAAATTTGCGTGGTATAAAATGTTTAAAAACTAGGAAAAATTACAACGTGAATATAACTTTTCAATGATTATTTACAGTTTTGTTTGATGAATCTCTCTTTTTTATTTTCATGAGAAATATGAATATGTCATGCAGCTAAATTATAATTTATCAAGAAAACAGTCGTATAATATCATAACTTCGAAAATTCTATTGCACGTGGGATGTGATGTTATGATCTTATAAGGAAAACTTTTATATTTCAGATTCAGTAAACTTGCCAGAGTCATACAAATCAGCAGCGGATGCTATTCATCATTCCAGCAGCATGATTCATATATTGACTATAACTGTATGTGTTATAACTGTATTTACCTCATCAAACAGTTCTAACTTGCCAACACGAAAAGTATCCATCTATCAAGCAACTGTTTTCAATTGTGACAACTACGCGCACAGGTGAAACAACAGTGATGGATAAACAGCCTACATGTGCCTTACAATTAAATATCGGATTAAGGCAATCTCTATATTAATCATCGTGAAACATTCCATAGCTGATTACATCGTGATGGTTTTTGAAAAGATAATGTGACAGCAACGTTTTCTAACGAGTCTACGACTAATTGCATTTTGGTGAAAGAAGAAAGGACGTGTTGTGTTTATTATTCTGTATTTAAACGTCGGTGTCTCAGATATATTTGTCCTAATGTAACAAGAAGTGGTATTATAGTTTATAATTAAAAATAATGTCAAGATTGGCGGCTCTTTCATCAATACAAGTGGTCACTTAAATGACTTGTAAATACTTTGTCTTATACTAAAACACATGGTTGTGCGAATTTGTATAACCACTAAAACATTTTAAAAAGAACAAACAAATGTTGTGGAAATAACAAAATTATGAGGTGCCTTGTTAACCTTTTAAGCACATAAGCATGTAAATTAGTAACGTATTTCAAACGCAGATGGATTTTGCTCTGCGAGTATCTGGGAAAACAAAAGACTATTGGTGAAAACACGTGACTCAGTCATGACAATTTGTGTATTTTAAGAACACTTTGAGTGAAATAATGAGTGCAGCGATACAAATGATGGAATGCATTTCCTTGGGACAATGAACGCTTAACGATTGTTATAGCGTGTTTTTCCCCTTGGAGTATATTTGGTATATACATAATTAATTTTTAAATAAGTTGAATGTATGGGAAGCTATAGACTGGCAAACTCACTATCAAATATGTTTCTGGAACAAGCCAGGACTTAGTAATAAGTGTTAAGTTCTTTGCCCTATAAGGCAATGATTTTCCTCTTTAATAGGTTTGAACCTACACAGCTAGCGATCCTTAGATTATACAAAAAGTAGACAAAAATTCTAAATCATAAAACGGCAAAATTGAGAGTGTTGCAGACTTGGTTTTGTTTTTCTATTTGCAAGCTATTCTCCCCGCTCCCGCCCCAGCACCGGCTTAAGCAGATTTCAACATAAAAACATAAAAATGGTACGATTTTGAATTTAAAAACATCAGCAGATGTATTTATAAGGTTGTTATTATGTTATTCCGACGCGTTACTGGCTCGGCCCTGATGTCATTATGTTAGTATGTCCATATATTTGAAATGCAAATTGTTGTTTTACATTTGTTGATACATTGAGAGATTGAACATTATAATTTTCGTTGTATAATTACTTTAATTGGGTATAATTGTATGTAATTAAAATACCCATGTCTTTACAATGTCTAAATGAATATTGATGCATTTTACTTTACCGTGGCTATTTTAAATTATTCACCTCTTTATGTGAATCGTTTCTTTGCTGTTGTGTTTTTATGGTTTTTTTTATATATAATTATATTGTTTGTTCCTTTTCTGTTTTAACTTTAAAAAGAATCTAATTAATTTTAAAAGTTGCTTGTTATGTAAAATGTAAATAAAACATTTAAACTATGTAAAGAATACTTTCAGTACC